AGCACAGACCCCCCAACGTCACCTACTCCTCTGAACCCGCCCCATTTTACCTCCCCTTTATATGTTATCTGACCTAAGCCCCCCAATGCTGTCTTTCTCTCTTGCGGGTTGTTTAACTCAATTTTCCTTTTGTGTATTTCAAGCTGTTGTTAAAGGTAGCGCAACTGTGTTTGCTGCATGACCGGTTTCACCTGTTCCCCCATGTTTGTCTTGTATGTCTTCTTGAATGAGTGTTTCTTAACTGGCCCCTCCCCCATTCCCTGAATGTACAGCACCTTGTGAATTTATTTCTGTGAAAGGCGCTATATAAATAAAACTTTACTTACTTACTTACTTACTTACTAATTATTTACACAGTACTGTCTTCATTACCATAATGTCCCTGTCTAAGTTACAACTTGCAGTCATAATAATATTATTATAATATATAAAATGCTTTCCTACCCTTTGATCAATTGTAGGTCACAATTAGAAATTGAAACAGATGTGTCCTTTTCAGGCCAGAACAGCTTGGCAATGGCCAGGGAGGCTGGAGCAGACATTATTGTTGCTGTCAACAAGTGAGTTGCATCCACCTGAAAATTCACACATCCTGTCTGTCATAAAAAAAAAAAAACATCCCCTGTAAAATTTGAACAAATAGTAAAATTCATTCTCGTTTACTTTCTCTTAATCTTACACATCATGGACGAATGAATGACATAATCACACTGTGTGTTTGTGGCTAATTCTGCCTCTTTACAACTGCACCACCGCCCCTCTCACAACAGGTTTTCCTCACCCCAAGGGAGACGTAGGCTCCCAAAATGGAACCAGAGATGCTGGCGAACCCACCGGTCATCACAGCAGGTATCTCTGAGACGGTGAGCTCACCGATGTACAGGCGAATCAGGAGAGCCACGTCCGTCTGAAAGACACACGGAGACGGAGGCTCTGTTGAAATCGCTGGATAGTTACAAGAAGACGTCAGTTACTTTTGTTTTGAGTTAGCGACGCTAACGTTTCCCAGGAATATGTTTCCAGCTGCAGCCATYGACTCTGCTGGAGATGTTCCCATGGTAACCTGCATTAGGAATCCAATCTGGGAATGAAAAAAAAAAATCAGAACTCCATAGAAAATAAAAGGAAAATAGCTGATGTTAAAAATCACTTTTTGTTCTGGAATATAAATCTGCTTGTTCATGTAATTCACCATATTTCTCACCTTGCAAATGAGCCAGGGCATGAAGCCAATGTAGTAGAGGATGAAGACGACTGAGCTCAAAAATACCAATATGGGCATCACCTGCACAAAGACCACCATCAGCACCACGCGCCTATTTGTTTGTTTTATTGCATGATTGTGATGCAAATAATTATACATTAATAATTAGGGTTTGAGTTCATGATGCACACTGAAACGCTTTAGTTTTTGTCCATTTTTGCACATGTGCACATTTCAGACTGTTACCTGTTGCACATTTGCACATTTACACTTTAAACACTGATTGTACTGTTCCCTTTCTTGATGCTATTATAGAATTGTTCCCTTCTGATGTTATTATCTCTAGGTTGGTCTCTTTTTTATTCGAAGTGTGGTCCTTTTTTTTTTTTTATCCTTTATCACTTATTACCTTGTTAGTGTCCTTTCAGTGCTTATTCTTAAGTATGGTTGTCTCTCGGCATTCAAAGTGGTCGGCAAAGTAAGAATTTCATTGCTCAGGGAAATGTTTTCATCTGTGTATRTGACAATAAACACTTTGAATCTTTGAATCTTGAATCATAAAAGTCCCTTAAGCACAACCAAACCTCTGTGTTCTGTGTGGATATTTCCCTGCATCTCWCCTTGAAAGTGAAGAAGTGGTCCGTGAAACTGGCACCAAACACAAACTCAGTGCCAGCGTCTGTGAATGACAGAAACATCTGCACAGAGAAGATTCAGACTTTTTATCAACACTTTTACAACATCTTTAATCATTAAAATAAAYAAATAAATTGCAGCATGATTAACCAAACTTTTTTCCCCACAAACCCTTAAAACAATGGCATCCAGAAAAACCAAACTTGGTTCATGATATATATAACCTACGGTAATTCACATTATATACAGCGGGTAAAATAAGTATTGAACACGTCACCGTTTTTCTCAGTAAATATATTACTAGAGGCGCTAATGACATGAAATTTTCACCAGATGTT